CTTTTTATAAAATGACTTTTAGAGAGGAAAGAAGGGAGGAGAGGGAGGGAGGAAGGGGGAGAGAGGGGAGAGAGAGGAGAGAGAGAGGAGAGAGGAGAGAGAGAGAGAGAGAGAAACATCAATGTGAGAGAGATACATCGATCAGTTGGCTCCTGTACATGCCCCAGCAGGGGAGTGAACTTCCAGCCTAGATATGTGCCCTGACCAGGAATCCATCCGGGACCTTACAGTGCATGGGGCCATACTCCAACCAACTGAGCCACACTGGCCATGGCATAGGCTTCCTTTTTATTTCATAGATGCAATCGTCAACATCTCACTCCTGATGAAATGACCATCATGAATTTATGGGGTTGTGAACATTGCCACAACCCCAGAAACTGCACTGAACAGGCATATTAAATGAATTTAGAAAGTGTTTTGCACAAGGAATTTCATGATTTTTTACATATACTTTATAATTATATATATATTGCTGTTGAGAAACAGATACCATGATAGGATCAGAAGTCTCAGATATTTATTGAGGGATGTGTCTATGAAAAATAAAAGACATAGAAGAGGAAGCAGAAATAAGTAGGAAGAGCCTCTGGGCCCAGATGCAAGTCTAAAACCTATAAGGAAAGAGAGGAAAATTAGGTGTGAAAGCTTCAGAAGGCAATGCAGGTCACAGAAAGTCTCAGCTATGCTAAAAGGGAGTTACCAAAAATAGGTTGCCTTTTGGAAGAGTCAAAAACCAGGCAGGAGTGGCTGGGCTCGAGCACCTACACTAGGCTCAGTCCTTGACTTGGAGAAGCACATGGGAAGCTTGTCCATGGAGTGAATGCTGGAGGATCCAAAGGTGCTTCAACTGAAGACCATTAGCCAGCTGTGCCCCTCACAGTGGGCTGCTGTAAAGGACACCTGAGTGGCAGGACTTCATGGGCACCATACAGAAATTCTATGCCTTCTAATGACAATTGCATAGTGTGTAAGCACTTTACCTCTCAGAAGTACTTTTTATGCAGATTAACATTTTTAAAGAAATATAATAAATTTCAATTTAATAATTACATTTACATAATTCAGCTACTGATAGGAATTATGACCCCAGTTCCAAGGGTAGTGCTTTGGCAGATTTTTAATATAAGTTTGAGAATAAACGCATGTAGTTATTCATATTTCTTATTTTAGAAAACACTTTAATTTATTGATTTCATTCTCTTTTCTAGTGCATTCTAATTGGGCTTTTCTTTGTTGATTTAGTTATAATCTTCATCTTAACCGCCTTAAGTTTTAAAAGTACATGGTCAATATTCTTTAAATACCATTAAGTGTGTGTTATAACAAATAGTTACAATGGTGATTAAACTCGTTGGTCCTAAACCAGGCTATCTAGGATTAATGCTCAGCTTCAACACTTCCTAGCCGTGAGAACTTTGGAAAGATTACTAACTTCTCTCTGCCTTTGTCTGTGAACTTTAATTCTAATAGTACCTAATTATAGAGTGGCTATGGAGATTTAAAAAAACAAAAACAAAAAACAAAATACTTAGAGCAGTGCCTGATACATATAAGTGCTCAGAAAAGTAAGATGGTATTATTGATGTCATATTATTAACATAAATCAATAATTCTACCATATGATCAATAAAGCACTAGAAATGTCTCCACCAGTAGAAAAAGACTTGGTAACACCTTTATAACTGGCTCAGTAACTGAGCAAATTTATCACATAAAATGAAAAGAATACAAAATGTTGGGAGGACCCCAATGTATAAATAAAGGCAATATATATAGAAAAAGTATCCTATATAATAAAAGCCTAATATGCAAATCGAACAAACAGTGGAACGACCAGTGGAACGACTGATTGCTGTGATGTGCACTGACCACCAGGGGCCAGGCATTCAACACAGGAGCTGCCCCCAGCCCACAGGCCCCAGGCCAGCCAAGGCAGGTGCCAGCAGGGGCCCCGATTGCCCCACCAGTCACCCCAGAGATCAGCCCTGATCGTCAGCCAGGCTTAGGGACCCTACCCATGCACGAATTTGTGCATCGGGCCTCTAGTGATAATAATAAAGAATTGAACACAATGTCTGATCTAAAGGCTCCAGTTACATTAATAATTCAAACAAAAGCCCAGAGAAGAAGCTGCTGAGGTTACTACTCATGGACACAAACCTGATGGTAATGTGCCTCTGTGCTCAGGTCTTTCCTGATTAATATCAACCTCCTTGGCTTTTCTATAACTCCACTCTTAATTGGCAACTCAGTTAAAACAGTCTTCCAAGTGTTGCGATTAACATTTTCTAAAAAGTTTATCCCTGCCCCTTACACCATAGCTCTATAGGATTATTTTTTTTAATATATTTTATTGATTTTTTTTACAGAGAAGAAGGGAGAGGGATAGAGAGTCAGAAACATCGATGAGAGAGAAACACTGATCAGCTGCCTCCTGCACATCCCCCACTGGGGATGTGCCTGCAACCAAGGTACATGCCCTTGACTGGAATCAAACCTGGGACCCTTTAGTCCACAGGCCAATGCTCCATCCACTGAGCCAAACCAGTCAGGGCTCTATAGGACTATTTTAAAAAATGGTATTGATTCCTATCTCCTAAATATTTTGGAAATATCAGCTGAGTTTGAGAGTTATACTGGCATTTTTAGCTTAACATTATTATACAAATCAATCAATTATTGAATTCATATATTTATGCATGCATGCAACAAATATTTAAGTAGCTTCTATATGCCAGGCAACAGAGGGCAAAAAATAATGATGGAAAATATAGGTGTGGAAAGCATAGTAAGTTCATCTTTTCATAAATTTTATAACTTTGTAGTGGGAGTTAAATCTCTTTTAGGTCAATATTTTTTTCTGCAAAGATTATTATTCTTTTGTCAGATCTTAAAGCCTTTATGCCCTCTGCTTGACTAATAGGGTAGTAGGAATGGATCCCATAAGTTTTGCAATAATGAGATTGAATAGTAATGAATATCAAAAACTTCAGTTGACTAAAGCCTCATCTGCTATACTCCAAAATAAAATATAAAATTCTCTCTATCTTAACAACTTGAAACATGATAAAAACAAGGATGGGATATTGAAGGATACTATTGTATTTCTTATTTACAAAAAAAGCAATAGTTGTTCATAAATATTAATTTCTTGATTCTTGTGATAGACCCAAGAAACTGATGACAGTTTTTAAAATAATAACTTCCATGTGTATTAAAATTTAGAGTTTGCAAAATACTATCTGGTTCACTACTTCATTTAAATATCAAAACACCCAGTAAAGTTAATAGAGTGAATGCTATTATCTCCATTTTATAGATTAGGAAGGGAATCTAAGGTTAAGTGGCTTAAGCTTACATGATTAAAAATTAAGAGATTTCCTTAAATCCAGATTTCTACAGAACCTATGACCCTTATATATATCCCTGCTTCCTAAGTATATTTAATATATTCTTCAAACACAGAATCAAAATTCACCTCCCTATAAAGGAATCCTGCTTTCTTACTAGTCCATGTAATTAAGTTTTTATTTATTCTACCTAATTTGCAAATTTATACCTCCTTTCACAGTGCAAACAATTGAAAATTGGGTATTTTAAATAATAACCTATATTACAGACATTGTCATCTTTTTATAGTTCACTATATTAAGAAAATACAATGGATTCTTGCATATATTCCAGATTCAGTCTGCAAGCACCTAAGTATCTACTCTCTTAGAAACCGTGCTTAGAACTCTAAGAGTGTCACAGAAGAACAAGCCATGGTCCCTACCTTAAACTGCTGATGCCCTAATAGGGAGACAATTTATAAATACAAATGATGATACAAGGCAAAATACAGTAACATAATTATGGACAGGTCCTATGAAATAACAGTGTGGAGATATTAATTTTTTCTGAGACAGTCTTTAAAGAGTGCTTAATCATACAAAAAGTGACATATAGTCTATGCTAAATGGTCTTATAATAGGTAGAGATAAAAGTGAAAAATATATCCCAATCGCTTCTCGGCCTTTTGGCTAAGATCAAATGTAAAAATATATCCCAGATAAACAAAAGAGCTAAAACACAGCAAGGAAGACATAAATTAATAATAATGTCTGATTTAGGTGGAAGATCAAGTGCATGAGTAAATACTAAAACAAACAAACAAACAAACAAAAGGCTGCCTCTTCTAACACCAGGCAGAGGACTTTGGATAACATGTTAAAAATATCAGAGAGGTCTTGTCTTATCCTGTATAGATTAGGACCAGGGTGTGTACTTGGACAAGCAAATGGCAAATCCAGAGATGTGTCTCATGAAGAGTGCTTTGATAGCAATATCCTGTATAATAAAAGGCTAATATGCAAATCAACCGAATGGCAGAATGACCGGTCACTATGACACGCACTGACCACCAGGGGGCAGACTCTCAATGCAGGAGCTACCCCCTGGTGGTCAGTGAGCTCCCACAGGGGGAGCACCACTCCACAAGATGAGCTCACCGCTGGCAAGTAAAGTGATGGTGGCAGGAGCCTCTCCTGCCTCCACGGCAGTGCTAAGGACCCCTCGTGCCTAAGCTGGCAGGCAGACATCCCCAAGGGGTCCTGGACAGCAAGAGGGCACAGACCAGGCTGAGGGACCTACCCTCCCACCCCCATGCATGAATTTTGTGCACTGAGCCTCTAGTGAAAGATATAACAGGGAGGGATGGGTAAGAGAGACAAAAAATGAGATAAGAAATCTCATGCAAATGCTCAAGTAATTGCTTATGAAGAAGTAAGCTAGCTTTGTGCCTGAGAATGGAGTTGTCACAGACAAGAGAGGTACAGGTGCACCTCATTTTATTGTACTTTCTTTTATTGTGCTTCACAGATATTGTGTTTTTCATATATTAAAGGTTTGTGGCAACCATGCATCGAGCAAGTTTATTGGAGCCATTTTTCCAACAGCATTTCCTCACTTGGAGTTTCTGTCACGTTTTGGTAATACTCGCAATATTTCAAACTTTTTATTATCAGTATATATGTTTGGTGATCCTTGACCAGTGATCTTCGATGTTACTGTGGTAATTGATTTGGGGCACCATGAACCATACGCATATAAAACATGTTTAATTGATAAATGTTTTTTATGTTCTGACTGCTCCACTGACTGGCTGCTCCCCCATCTCTTAATTCTCTCCTTCTCCTTATGCCTCATTATTCCCTGAGACACACCAATATTAAAATTAGGTCAATTAATAACTGTACAATGCCTCTGAGTGTTCAAATGAACGGAAGAGTTGCACATCTTTCACTTTAAATCAAAAGCTAGAAATGATTAAGCTAAGTGAAAAAAGCATGTTAGGAGCTGAGATTAAACCAAAAGCTAAGCCTCTTGTACCAGTTAGCCAAATTGTGGATGCAAAGGTAAACTGCTTGAAGAAAATTAAAAGTGCAATCAATATACAGATGATGTATCATAGAATTATATGCTTGAAACCGATATAATTTTATTAACCAATTCACCCCTATTAATAATTTTTTTTTTAATTTTTAAGAAGTGCTACTCCAGTAAACACATGAATGATAAGAAAGTGGCAGAGCGTTAGTGCTGATTTGGAAAAAGTTTTAATAGTCTACTTAGAAGAACAAACCAGCCACGACATTCCCTTAAGCCAGTGTTTCTCAACCTTCTGGCCCTTTAAATACAGTTCCTCATGTTGTGACCCAACCATAAAATTATTTCCTTGCTACTTCATAACTGTAATGTTGCTACTGTTATGAATCGTAATGTAAATATCTGATATGCAGGATGGTCTTAGGCGACCCCTGTGAAAGGGTCGTTCGACCGCCAAAGGGGTCGCGACCCACAGGTTGAGAACCGCTGCCTTAAACCAATATCTAATTCAAGGCAAGGCCCTAACTCTCTTCAATTCTATGAAGGCTGAGAGAGGTGAGGAAGATGCCGAAGAAAAGTTGAAGCTAGCAGAATTTGTCAACTAAATTCAATATTACATGAACTTAGTTGATAAAGCAGTGACAGTGTCTGAGAAGATTGACTCCAATTTTGAAAGCAGTTTTACTGTAGGTAAAATGCTATCAAACAGCATCACATGCTACAGAGAAATTGTTCAGGAAAGGAAGAGTCAATCAATACAGCAAACTTTATTGTTGTCTTATTTTAAGAAATTGCCAAGACTGCTCCAGCAAAAAACCACCCTGACCAGTCAAAACCCATCAATATTGAGGCACAATCCTCCACCAGC